TTGGTTTACAAAATACAGCTAGTCGTTTTGTTTAGTGCTAAGCCGAAAAATCAATGTCCGATTTTGGACTTGTATTGAAAATTATTTTTGCGAGCCTAAAGCCGACCGTAGACTATTTAAAGATTAGCAAATTGATCGACACACGGGTGCCGGACAAAAGACATTGTTGTCGTTGACCCAATTTTGGGTTTGCTGCCAAAAGCAAAATTTTTTATGGAACACATATAAACGACCTTCGTCTCTTAACTTCAATTGAAATTGATGAAGTTAATATTGAATAGTGAAGTGGATATTGAAGTAAAAAAAACAAACGCTTATTCGCTGCATGGTGCTAACTAAATTTATACCGTTTATTACCATATTCAGAACCCGTCTTGAGGAATAGAACGTGACCTGATTCTTGCAATTACATTGGTCAAATTTGTATATCAACCAATGAAATTGTAAAAAAAACTCCGCCCAATAAAATACAAAAATTGTGATCAGCTGATTGACGAATGGCTGGTATGATATTTAATGTGTTAAAAAAAACAACAACCGAATTTACCGCCTTCTTTTAATTCGTCGACGATCTCGTTCAGATAATTCGGTATCGACATAATCATTGATTCAACCTGAATTTTTCTAACAAGATGCAAAATACGAATTACAAACAAGGTTTGCAAACTGCCGTAATTTCAGGCTGTATTTCCACCATTCATAGACAAAGTCTATCGTTTGTTTATCTATTGCAGACAAATGGTTATATGTATAACGTACAAAATGTGGGTGTGAAACTTGAGATAGAGTGCGGGATGCCGGAACGTGTTTGATATATTTGACTTTGCATATGAAGTGATTGAATTATTTGAGTTATTTAATCGATCATATTTATTTAACTGCGTGATTTATATTAAACCATATGAGTCCCTGCAGATAGTTTGTAGAGGCTATTGAGCTCCCCTTTTTCGAGAATTGTTAACCTTATCCTGCTTTTGAAACAAGAGTTTGTTAACTACTGAATAGAACAACAATTACGAAGTTGTGTTTAATAACAAAGGATTATGTTGTTAACTAAATACGTATATGCTGTATACATGTAAATAAAGATTATGAAAGATAAGACTTTTTGTAGACGCTGTCTGATTTTTTGTTCGGTAGCACATCCTTTTATTTGTTTCAATAAAGCAGAATGTAGTCCATATGTATACAAATTAGTAACGGTTGTCGCTAACTATAGCAGATTACATAACATTTATTGTCTTTTGGCGCTGACTCACTTTAGTATAAGTCGAATCGGACAATACAACGCTATTGATCTTTGTTATTTAAGTCACTGAGCCATATACAAAGTATTATAATTGCTATTGTTACTCTATTTCCATACAGTGAGATGTTCGGTTTCGTTCATAGTAACATGTTCAGACGTACAAATTGTTGTACTTTGAAAAGCTAACGTGGGTTTATTAAAATTAAGATTTTCTCCAATGCTAATAATTAGTCGAAATAATTATAAGCAACCTTTCTATTATTTATGCGTGTCGCTTGTTCTTGTATATTTGATAATAATGTTTGTAATTTTATTTTGCATAATAATACCTGTATACCAATTACATTTTGTGCATTAGTCTCTGTAGTATTAGACACACTTGTTCTATTTTAAACGTATTGATGAATGACAGAATTTGTTTCATTGAAGAATGGAATCGTCCATTGTCGCTCTTGAAATTGGGTTACGCAACGCAACAACCCCTGAATCTCGGTGCATGCGCTTCTCTATTTGTTGCACACAGAACCCCATAAACGTTAAAATAACCAGTAATTTTTTACAATAGAAATATTCTCTTTGTCAACTACCAGTACTCGAAAATGCAAGTCTCTCGACGCTGATTATAAGGTCAAAAAAATAAACAAATATACCAAAAGAACAAATCTCTTGCTGTTATCAGATATCAAGATATACAATAATCCAGCCAACTACAGGAAATTAATTCGCCTTTCCACCGGAGATGTGTACTTCTGTTTCACACAACCAAATACAAAGCTGCAAATAGAATGGGTATTCGGATTTGCCAAGTAAAATCGTACGACGAATTTGGTCGGTGCCGACTGTATGTGAAATTGGTACATACACAACCTATGTTTCATCGCAAATTGGGCATTAATGTTGAAAATTTACCTTGTAACTGTAAATATTCGGATGGCCGTTGTATAAGCGTATTTCTGAAAGCGAAATTAATTATTTCACGAATTACTTCCCACCCCTGAAAGCTTATCAGCATAGCCTAACATACATACGAGCAACCAAAAAAAGCACACCTGTTTACCATAAATATGGAAAATAAAATATCATTAAATAAATATTGACCAAAATGCATGACAAAGATTGGCTCTAGAGTGAAGAGAGATATGGAACTTATTAATAAATAAACAATACAAAGCTTTTATTAAATGTTAGCCACTGTATTAGTTGCTCACAAATACAGTAGTATTAGTATTTACGTGTGTTTATATTATACGTCATTTAGTGTAACCATTTCCACTGAAAACTTTTCTTGATGTTAAAGCCCAATCAGCCCAATCAGACGTAATTATGCAAATTTGTACACTTGCTAGAAGTTTTTAATAGCAATCATGTATTAAAAGTACGGTTGTTACAATTATTTCTGGGCAGGTTTTCCTTAAGTGTGTATTAATGGTACAAGTTTAATGCGTATACTTAAGAAATCTTCACTTTTTTTGTTAGCATTGTCTGTCATTGTGAGGCTCATACCATTTGCTACTCTGCATATTATACACTTAAATATTTAGTACGTTACCGATTGTAATAACAGCATGTCCGAAATCCGTGTCACCCCCCACAAAACGTATAAAACGAACCCATATTCACCTGCAGACCAACAAAAACAACCAGATCGAACTCTACTACCAGTAAACCCACCTCAAAACCTACCACCTAATAATCCACCTCCACCACCTAATCCACCTCAAGTACAACAACAAGAAGAAATGGCCCAAGCTACATACCCAGCATTCGATGGCACTAACCCTCGCAAGTGGTTAAATGAAATGGACATCGCTTTCACGGTTAACAATATCCAAGCGGATGCCCACGAGCGAAGAATTGGAAGTACTAAACTCTGGACCAGCAAAAATATGGTACCATTTCAACAACTTCCACTTCTTCACTCGACATACAATGCCAAGAACCACGAGAAGACGCCATCAAATACAACACGTAGCACGGCTCGTCAACAGACGCACAGCCGTGACTAGAACTCGTCGGGCGGCCGCCGTTAGTACGCTTTCGTACTATATTTTACGTGGACGACTTTTACGTCGAGTTGTCCAGGGGAAATATTTACATAAGGCGGCGGATATTTGAAGCGACAACCAGTTTTAAGGTAAATGACCGGTGGTTAGGTGAAGGCGGTAGTGTTAGGTGGGAGAAAGTGTGGTCTAATGTTGCTTAGTACGTTGTCCACTAATAACAAAATGTTTCTTCTCTGTTTTTGCATTAATTAGCTCATATCCGTTTTACAGAGGGGGGCAAAAGTTTCAAATACCCTTTGTAAATGTAAATTTGTCACTTTGCTTAGTATTAGTATTTGTCCACTAATAACAAAATGTTTCTTTTCTGTTTTTGTAAATGTAAATTAACAATAGTAATTATGTATGACCCGTATATGGTCACATTATATTCAACTGTTTATTTATATAATTACTAGAAGTGTGTAGTGTGCCGCATCGGTCGGCCTTTAGAATTTTACCGTTGGATAAATTTAAGCTAAAACGCATTTCACGACTACTAGTGCGGAAAATTCATTCCAAAAGAAAGTGTTTGTATTTTGTGTTCAATAAAAGCAAAATTATAATTATATCTTAATATTAAGGGGGTTTTTTCTAATCAGCGTGAACTTTCTTCTTTTGTGGATTAAAGTATAGTATTTAAACGCGTTTGAATGATGAAGATCATTAATGCTAATTATAATAATTTTTGTAAGCTTGTGACAAAGAGCTGTGCAGTCCAAATGGCAACACGTTGTTTATTATTATGGAATGTACATTATAATTAATCAAACACTTGCAAAATATGTATTGTAGGTAGAATGTATGTTTGGCATCTGATCTCCACTTTTGCTTAGGAAAAAGACATCCATACAATATTAGCACCTTGCTGTTACTTCACACCCCAAGTGCCCCTTTTTTTTTTTTGAGAATCAATACCTATCACTATAACTACTATTGTCTACAATAAATTGCAAACCATCGCTATAGCAACTGTCCAAACCCAAGATTGCTGACTGTGACATAGGTTTTAAAATGGGTAAAAATCTTTCAAAGGCTTCTCTATCTTTATTCCAGTGCCAATTAAACGAGATCCCCAGAATAAAATTTTTACAGTCTAATTCAACCCAATATCATCAGCGACTTCCCCATTCTTGCGTTGTTTTTTAGGCGCCGGCGTCGCCACAATGGGTAACTGTCCCGATAATGGCGGTGTCACACAACGCTGAACTCTCGGATTTAAAACGCTAGCCCTTTGTTTCCGCTGGAACTTGATCTTGGTTCTCACGAGTTCTCTGATATGTTTGGCGGTCTCCTCCATCTTTAGATTAAATGAACGAAACGCTTGAACACCGTCTTCTACAAGATAAAGATCGTCCTCGCCACTTGGGAGGTCTATCTCATGAATGAGTTGCATATGGAAAAAGCCTTTGAGTGAGGACATGGCGTACAATTTTAGCCGAAACCCTGAATATCAATAGGTCAAATAAGTGTTTGCATAGTTGTGTATGTCTTCTGTATATTAAACTCTTCATATGCATAATCACTCACCACGCAGCTGCCAGCCAAAGACAGGAACTTCAATGTTTAAACGGCGGCGTATGTGCATTAACATGTCCCGGAGTTCGATGGCCAATTTGACCTTGTCTTCCCATGATTTAACATGATTACATTCTGGTAGACCTCCAGAAACTTCACCGACTCCAATTTCGGCTTTCCATGATGCTGTTGTACACACAATCCTGCAATCGCATTTCAAGCCCACTCTCGAATTTAATTGAGGGTCACGATTCTCATTTCGTCGTTCTGTACACGCTTGTAATACGTGTTCCCCCCTAGAAATCAGAATACATTTTAGCTGGCTGTACTATTATCTCATGATTCATATTTCATTTACTCACCATTCAACTTGATAAGGTCTTGGCCCTGGCAAATCCATCGTAGCATCAACAAACGGAATCAAAGTCCTAATAGTGTGATGAATCTCGGACAAACAACCACGGCGCCGAGCGTGGTTTTCTTTCCTGAGAGCAAAAAGTCACATAGATATTCTGATACGAACACGTTTTTAGATGAAATACTCACAGCGTCCGTACCAAGTTTTTGATTTCCTTATCTGATGGTTTTCGAAGTTTAATAGTCTCTAGATCGTCAGACTATGGAAGATGCATAAGTTCAAATCGTATTAAAGCTAATATAAACATTAGCACTATCTTACATCTAATAACTGATCCAGGAATTCGCCTTCATCTTCTGATAAAGCATTATCTTGAATATTGAAATCAACGGAAAGCTGTCTACCAATTTTAGGAAGCTCTGTCTGAAGCAGCTCGTTGGTTGGTATATGCTGCTTTGAGTGGTCTATTATATAGTAATATAAAGGACTAAAATAGTTGATGTAAAAATGTACCAATTAGTTTACAAATTATAATGCTAAGGTGGGATAAATACGCACTTGTAAAGTTTCTTATCCTGCTTAATGGTTTCACGATATTTATCAATGCGACTTTTGATGTCTTCCCAATCAATATCATCTCCACTGGATGCTTGATGTTCCTCGCTATTGAGCCGAGTTACGTTCTCAAACTCAGCTATATCGTTTTCATCGATAAAGCTCTGGTCCGTTTTCTCTGACATGCTGTCCAATCGCGCTTCCGTGGGTTCATCAAACTTTGGTGTATGTACAAATGTTAGCATCATATCATTACAAGGTCAATGATTCAAGATTGAAGGCATGCAGAAAGCTACAACCTGAACTCCTTTGGCATCCGCACTTTCTAAATCCAATGATTCACATTCTGATAGAACCTCATCAACCGAGTCTGCAAGTTTTCGTTTAGAAGATGATGCAACAAGGGGATCTTCACGATTTTTCGATTGATTATAAAGCTTCCGTGCCTTGCTAGCTGTAGCAGACATCGCAGCATTCGTAATCAATTCCTAGATTGCCTAAAGATGTGAGTACCCATATCAAAGTTCCCAGCGGACACGTGAAATGCAATACGCACCTCACTGATTCGGTTATCTATGGCTAAATTAGCTAATTTTCGAGAGTGAGTCTGCCAAAAGTTTACAAGCCTATCATCACCGCGCTAAATTGGACAAGAATAAGGAAGTGAATTAGGGCATACAATCATCACTATAATTTCCTTGGAAATGACGACTGTCTTTCTGATCACGTCTAGTCGCGCATGGCATGGTTGGATCAAAAAGATCCGAAGTCATGACACACTTCCCACTTCGGGCAAGCCGCAGTATTGCCCTTTGCGACAAAAGTCGCTCGACCGCAGTCGCAGAGTGTGACTAGACAGCTCCAATACAAAGCGACAGGTGCATGTAGGGGTCGGTTCTTTTCAAGAACCTGAGCCGCAACATTCTTCTTCCCCATCCAGGTAGACCGCAGAAAAACCCGGAATCCGACCGCGGTCGCAGGGCGTAGCACCATGCCCTCTATTTGGAGCTTCAAAGATAAGAAAGGAGAAAAGCCAGACCTTAATACATTTGAGGATTGACAACGCCTTGCGATTCCTGCAGCCTTTTGGAATTTTTTTTATAATCAGCTCAAGTTCGCTTGACAATGCTGAGTGAGATTGTTGGATGGTGCCGAAAGGAAATTTGCTGATGAAGAACATGTCCCAATCAAGGACGTCCCACAGATTATGATCTTTTTCCCAATAAGCTACAGAAAGGGGACAATAAGTTAGTTACTATAACTCGTAAGACGCGCCCAAGCATGTCCATATTAGAAACTTACGGGGATACTGAAGAAGACTCTTAACTTCTTCAGACAGCGGGATTAGACGAGGCATTATTAATTATTAGGTTTACGAGAAAACGAAACGAGGTGAAAGTGGAGAATGTGAAATTTTCGGTTTACGCGTCATTCAGTCACCAAGCCATCAGATCATCAGGGTGACAAATGTAAATGGTGACGTAACACCTAAACCTGATCTTGTTGGCAAACAAACACCCAAGCAAGGAAGAGCAAAAGCATGAAAGCTTCTGCGAATGGAAACCAATTAGCATTCTTTACTGCATGCAGGCTGTGTCAGAAATCAAAATAACGAACCATCTTTATTGAATAAAAGCTTTTGGATGGTGCTCGCGATTGGAAAAATGATGTGCAGTCTTTTTTGTGTAGTTTGACAGTACGTTGCAGCAAGTGTTTTTTGTTTTTGGTGAAAGTGAATTCATCTCACAAAATGCTAGTTGCTCGCTTGTAACATAGCAATATAAATAGGTCTAAAATGTCACTAAAATTCAGGTGCATGAGCCACAGCTAAAATTTCAGCCACATCAGCCTCATATAGCTCACATTCACTTTGTCTGCATATTAATATATGATTTATCAAAAATCGATTGCATGTGTATTCAAATAACAGAACTCGGGACCAGACAAAAGTATGCACTTTTAGAAGAGTTTCACTGTACTTTATTTTAGATTGTTATTAATGAAATAGCATGTACTTTATAAATAGTATATAATATGGTCAAGACACTCAATAAATCAATTAGCAAGCGCTTGCAAAATTACATGCTATATTAGTAACTTTGATTAGGGTACATCCAAGCAAGGATTGACATTGTCCTGAAGCTTCAGGGACGACGAACGGCAATTTCTGTTGACAAGTCTAAGGATGCGAGAAAAGTAGTCACATGACAAATTATCACACGAGCTTAATTTTATTAATGGCTATCGACTATTAACAATAATGTCAGGGTTTTTTCCATTCACATTGAATGTTCCCCACCAAGATTGGGAAAGCCCAATTGTAACAGGTACTTATTTAGTTTGGAGTTAGTAAAGGATGTTCGTACTGTAACTATAAGTTTCGCAACATTCCGATAATTAACCTCTGGTGGAGACAGGAAGGCGCTTTATCTATTATTATACAATTAACTAAACAGTCGGCTTACAATTTGGAGAATAATTAAATCTATACGCTCATTGTTTATTTGCATTATAAATATAAAAGGACGCTTTTAAACGCCACGGGCCTTACTCGTAAAATTATTTGGGGGCGATCCCTGCAGTAAAAAATTTTAATTGATGCAAATCACAATTTTTATTAAACTCCGACATGCCTCGCACACCTCGCACACCTCGTACTCCACTCATTCCCCCTACCGCAAGAGTGGCAACGCGTTCGCTTCAGACACCCACAACACCCATAACACCCACGAATTCATCTAATGATGACGCACCAATCGCCGCTCGTTTGCGCCCGCGAGCAAATAAAACAACAGAAGCGAGTACACCAATAAAACAGTCAAAAGCACAGCCTACTCCAACAAAGAGAAGCCGTAGGAAAGTCACTTTAGATAGCGAGGCTGTAAATTCACAAACGATCAATCAATCACATGACTCGGATGTTACTACTAATATTGAAGCCACGAACGAAGTGTCTGTGGTTGTAATTGTGCACAAAGATGGCAATATTTCGAACGATGAGACCACTTTAGATAACAAGGCCGTCGACGACGCTGTAGATTCAACAACGATTCAAGCAATTGAGTCAGATAATGTCGATACCTCGACTAGTGTAAACGATGTGCAAACAGTGGCAAAGTCCCATTCTGATAGTGCAGACGTTGACGCTTTGAACAATCAGGTTACTTTGGTTAATAACGAGAGTGTAGAGGAAGTGCAAATAGTGATAGACTCGCCAATAGATGATCAATCGCATGATTCTGACAGCACAGATGGGAAATATACTCCAAGCCATACTGTTAATGGTACTACAAGTCCAGAGACTACCGAATCACACAACATTACGACCGAGAAAGATCGAGAAGAGGGGATCAGGAATACAACTGAATCGCATGATGCTAGTGCTTCAACAGTAATCGCAGCAGAGTCACACAACATTATAACCGAAGAAGAGATCAGGAATAAAACTGTCAATAATAGTAAAAGTCCAGAGACAACTGAGTCTGCTGGTGCGTCAGTAGTAGTTACAGCAGCTAAAGAACAAGGAGAATTACAGGAGCCAAATACTGCAGAATTTCTTGTACCAAACGATATTGTCATCCCTAGATTGCTTCCATCTGAGCTTATTCAGCAAGTGCAAAGTAAAAAAGAGTATGGAAATTCGTGAGTAACATTAATATTTGCTAATGAAGAATCGGAACGAGTTTACTGGCAGTACTGGTGCTATGATTAAGTACACGTATATACTTTTTGCAGGGATGAACCACGAAAACGTAAAGGCCAGGATTTGCCAAAGGATGGGACGACTTCTTTGGGCCATAAGAAGAAGAAGAAGAAAAAGAAGAAGGAAAACAAGTCCAAGAACAGGTACACTCTTTCCAATAATTCATCTTCAAGTGTAGCATCTTATCCTATTACAATATTAGCGCTTACGCTCTCGTTGCATGTTAGTTCATTTACAATAGTAACGGTCGATGAATTAGACAAATGGGATGCACCTCTTGTTTCACATAAAACAAACATTAACGTTGAAGAGCAACCTCGGGGAAGAACAATAACAAAAAGAAATAGTAAGTGTATTATTAATATGTTTCAACGTTTGCTATGTATGACCCAGGCTAATTGGATAAAATTAAATTAGCGATGCTGAATGTAAGCCAGAGGATGAGTGGCCCTGCATTTTCATTTCGTCGACGGTAATGGGTATGATAATTAGAGTGGCGACAATTACAGTAACGTATGTACAATTTTCTAGAGTAAGATGCATTCAGATTGACTGTATTCTAAAGATTATAACATAATTAAATTGTAATGGGAGATTTGGTATTAGAAAGTATAAATCATGAGGACCTTATTTATCAATTTGGTAGCCAAGCTACCGCGTAGCCTATAATTTTTTTATCCGCAGTTTATTAATTTGTTTAATGTATTCATTCGGTCTCACAGATAGTAGAAAACCATAGAAATGAATTTCTCTTATTCTGCAAATACGTTACTATTTATTCGATTGGTTTAAAAAAAAAAGCATAGCTTCACATCAAGGCAGGAAGTCCGTATGGTACAAACTACCAGTGTATATTATTAGACCTAGTGTGTTATGATGCTCTAACATGGAAATTAACCACAGATGGCCGCATTAATGCATATTGTATCGATATGATGAATGGATAAGAAGGATGCGCAATGATGTTCAGGCATCGTCTAAATGAGAATGTAACACATTTTTAATAGGTGCTTTACTGGTAGATGCCAAGTCGAACTTACCTTGTTTTCAAGTCTTGCGCTTCAGGTGAGCCAAAAAATAATGTGAACCTTCTTTCACGTGTATGCTGCGAAAAGAACCTGGCCGTCGGGTCATTGGAAGCTGATCTAGGCCTTTTGTAAAAGTTAGTACCCATCATTAACAGAAGAATGCCATGCCATGAACTTGCCTCTCACATGACAAGTGAAACTTTTCATCGTACGCGAACAGCGATATATCGAAAAAAGGAGTTTCACTATATGTCTGAGGTCCATAAGGTAACACTGATAGAAGACGTCTTCTTGCCGCTATCTCCCTACATTAAATGAAGCGAATTAACATTACCATAACACTTTTACTAATTTTCCAGTTGGACTCACCCTCCAAGTCGCTGTTTCAAACTATGTTTATATTTATTCCAATATTCTCTTGCATAAATGTTGTTTGAGCAGTTTGCATCAAAATGAAAGGGTTGATTGAATGCCACAAAACGTAAATGGTCACAATAGTCCTTGAAGATGTCTAAAAATTCTTTGGACGCGTTATCATATACGGCTACCACCTCGGTTGTCTGATAATTGTAGACTGCAAATAGGCAAGGATGACCAACGGTCTCTGAATGCTGTATATGATTAGTGCAAAAGTATATAAACCAATCGGTGACAGCATCGCCATATATGACGTTTCTCATATTAATATTAATACTTACTCGCCCGCTTACGCAGTCAGGACAAGCAAACTTGATCAAAAAGTGAGATTCATCAATAAATTGCATTCTCCACATTGTAAGTAATTCTAATTGAGGGAATGTTCGATAAAAATGCTCCACACATGTATTTCTGCTTGGTACTCAACTTATTAGTCGTTATTTATTCAATTTACGCATGAACCTGTGTAATACAACGCATAATAGTTACCGGTCAGTCTTGTTACATGCCAGCCTATACAAGTATGAAAGCACGCGATGCTTAATACCACCTATTAATGGAGTCTATAGTATCGGTTGTCAGTAGGTTGTAGGTAATAATAATTAATAATTATTACTGTAGTTCATAGTATCATACGTATAATGTTCAAACACAACAGCCTTACCGCATCTCCAGTTGATGGTACCAAGAAACCTCTGGATCTCTTTACGTTTCTCTGCTGTTTTTGAGTTTGATCTGATTCAATCGTTGGAACCACCTGGTCGTCTCTATTATTGTTACATGCTGATGGATAGAATACAGGTGACGTTGACTGTATGTATGGCATATTGTCTTCGTCCGTTTTAGCTTCGATATTATTCACACAAGGCATTCCAAAACCCTTTTTAGTGGTATGGTTATGATTAGCCTGAAATTTCTCTTCCATCTTTTCGTGTTGTGCTATTATTAATTCATCATCTTCAAAGGCGTAGTAGCCAATGTTGTGGAGTTTTATAATACGACCGTCATCCTTAATAACATGTAAGAAGTTAGTCCAACATCAATCGCAGGGAGGAAAGGGAGATATATGGTCGTAAATTGTGACATTACCCTTAAAAGGTTTATGTATATTGTTTGATACTGCACTGACAGGACAGCAAACAGATTTCCCAACATGCTAACTCCACTATGATGATTTGCGTATATCTTGTCGTTCTCGTAGACAATCTTGTCTTTTATCTATAAAGTTAAAAATCAAAAAGATAAATGTAATAAACGCGAATAAAAATATACTCTAGTCTAAATTTGAAAGGTTTTATTAGTACCGCTCCTGTTTCAATTTCAATGACGTAAAAATGGTAGTTTTCGGTATTCAAGTTATACTTTAATTTTCCCGGTCGATTCTCAACAAAGGGTTCGTTTTCTCTGTCTGAATTCGCTGTTGCTAGTATCATCTGCGAGATGCGTTAATAAGCAAGAGACAGAATTTAATAAATTAACCATTTCAATACTTACATATTTTATATTAGTCGTAATCAAGCAAAAATCTTTGAACAGAGAGGCCGACTCGTCCAGAGATAAAAATTTCTGGTATTTCAAAGAAAAAAATTTCTCAAAAGTAGCAAAATTGTCAAGGAACTCGTAAGTATGTTGATGTTAACTAGACACGTAATAATCATCAGCTACGATATCCGGTAAGGATATGCGTTGATACAAGTTACTTCATCATGGGCTTTTATTTCTTTTTCCAGGATTGTTTCCTTAAAATAGTACAATTGGAATCCTCTCAAGCACTTGGTAAAGCAAATCAAATACTATTCAACGTAGGCACAAGTTAAAATTTGAAGTTAAATAATAATATACAAAAACTGAAAATAGCGTATTCACCTTGCCATCTGGTGTAAACCGACGAATCCAAATGTCTGGCAAACACACATCAAAGATAGACTGATTCGGATAGCAGTATTTATAAAATTCTCTATCTGTACTATTGTAAGGGCCGATCCTTCGCTGCTTTATTTCTCTGTCAAAAAGGGCAAAAAGTATGTTTTTACGTCTGATTCCTCGATACTCCATTGGCAATATGTAAGGTGTTTCAAAATGATTTGGAAGTGTCGCGCAGCGTGTATTTTTGCTAGACCAAAAATTCGATCCAAAATTTTCGCAAGTTCACGTACGGGAGGATAACAATATCGATAAAAGGAGTTGTTGAATGATATTTAAGAGTATTTCGGGAATATTTGTTTGTGACACGAGATTTACGGTTACACGGTGTTGAATACGCGGTTGGTTCCCGGTAATAGTAATGGATTAACTCAATGTGCCTGGGTGATCCTGCTCATCAAAGTTAGCGCGTGAGAGCCATACCTGGCTGACAGTGAAGGCTCGTGTTCAGTGAAAAAAATATAAATTGAGCAGTATTTGTCTTTTACTTTCGCATAATTTATCCAGCTTTTAGAAGTGTTTTTCCTATTCATGCTACAAATTAATTGTGTGACCAGTTTATGTGCACCAGCCACAGCATTCCCATTAGGCTTCAGTCAACTCTCTTTATACGACCTTTTTTGTGCGGAGAATGACCTGTGCTTAAACGAAGCAAGTCACTAACTACTACGCTGGTTATAAGGTCGATTTTGCTTGCCCTTATAAGAGAGTTGATTATAAAGTATTGTCTCGTCTATATTGGTGATGCTAATTATGTCTTGGTGCGCTTTGTATCATGTTTAATAAATTTAGTTTAAACTTACACTCTGCAGTCGTTTAATCTAATATTGAAGCGCCAAATACTATGAATAATAGTAATAGCGCATTCACACATTCAAGAGGAAAATTGTCTCTATGACAAGAAGGCAATAAAGTTATTGTTTAATTGGTTGATGCATGCATTTATTATCCCCAATAAAGTCTTTCTCTTAAGAATGGCTTCCGTTTCAATTGCCTTTATGACGTCATCTCAGAAGTTTTAGTAAATTATGTCATTGTTAGTCAGTACATTCAAGTGCGTAATGCCTTAAAACATCTAAACTATTTATTACTAAAGCCGCGAACGAGGAAGCAGCGTCAATTGTATAATGATAATTAAGGTGATAGCCACAAAAAATAACAGAACGCAGCAAACACATATACGAAACCATTCACCAACAACGAATTAACATCAATCTCATGTATGACACAGATCGAGACCATCGATGAAAATCACAAACTTTTTGTAACAAGTGTGACAAACGCAAATTCTATCTATTAATAGATTATGAAATTTGTTCGTTATGTACAAATTTGAGAACAAATAAAATTTGTTAACAGGGAAAAAAGCAGTGCAATGAATAAATATTATCTAATTTGGTCATTGGAAGATGCTTGAATTTTGACGAGGATCCGGAGATCAATTCTATTATGAAAACACCAATATGTGATACTGTACACAAACATCAACTAATATATTGACTATTACTTTTTAATATACATTATGGATGTAAGTTAATGTACAACAGTCTGTCAGAATTTGTTTACAGTAAATGCTCGTCATTGTTGCGGGAAATGCGTATACTAATACTTCTGTTCTTCTGTTATTTTCGAGTACGCGTCTTATAGCCCGTATTCGCTTTTTTCTTGTTTGTTTGGCGAGCGGGTGACTTGGCACTATTTGAAATTTGGACTGGGCTCGTAATTTCGATTGTCTGCTTGGAGCTTTTTGCTGAAAAGACATCATCGTCGTCGTCATCGTCATTGGTGTTGTCATCATTATTCGCCTGCAGACCGAACGTATCATTGTCATTATTATCATTATTAGCAATATTGTAGCCAAAAGAATGAATATGCCAGCAGTCTTGCGATTTACCTTGCGACGTTTCAACCTTGGGAGTACAGTCGGTTGTTGACTGTCGTCAGATAGGCGCTGTTCGTTTATACCAGTCGAAGAAGACGATAATGGTATTTGGGGGTTGTTTAAAGCTTGTTCTAAAACGTTGGCGGATGTCTCATTGCCGACTGGGAAGCCTTGTCCGTCATTCGAACTATCGAGAACTTCCGTTCTAGTAATTTGATTTGTCTGCGAGTGAAATTCGAAATAAGTTTTCACAAGATTAACATTATGCCTAGCTTTTTATTAAATAACGCCCAATAGTAGATACAAAACTTACAGAATTATTGTCTAGTTCCTTCCTTTTGTCTGTCATTGAAGCCAATGTATTCTGTAAAGTCCGCTACAGTTTTAAAGAAGAAATCCATGTCAATCACAGCATATTCGACCTGCACATTGATGTAACACCTTTTTTTTAAAACCTTACGATTTCTTCTTGTAGTGAAGCTCCTATCGACTCTAGTTCATGGATTTTACTGTCGCGTTTGCAAACCTCGTTATTATGATTTACAGCTGCTTGGTTTGCCAAATCCTGGTAATATTGAGCAGCTCTATTCAGTGTTTGCTCAATTGATTGCCTATGCTGTGAAAAGAATCGAAATCGTCAGTTCAGTTGACTGTTTGGTTCCCAAAGCTTATGACTGCATAACAGTGTCCGTACCTTGCTATCAATGCTGGTATGTTCTACCAAAAGTTTATCATGCTCTTGCTGCAAAGTCTCGTACTCAAGCTGCAAGTTGTTAAATTGAGATTCGAACTTGCTTGTGTTAGCCTATTACGGGTGTTAAAAATTAGAACAATATAGATAACCGGTTGTTTCCTCAAATTTACATAAATTCAATCATAAAACATGAGCACGAACCTTTGTCTCGTCTAATTTTCTTTGAAGCTCTTGCTCACGAAGATTGTAATCCATACAGTTTTTTCCAAAAATCTGTAACATCATAGCATGCTGTCTTGCTAGATCCATGTCTGGACAGTCAGAGGTTCCGACGGCCACTACAATATTACGTGCCAGTTGGCCCATAAGTAAGAAAGAATTTATCGATACAGTAATTAGGAGTTGGAAAGGTACCTGATGCTTTCTCAATAACAGCCAAATGAGAGTCGCTATGATTTGATGTTGCATGAACTGTTAGTCCATGTGAAAAACGTTGGTAGTATCCATCATAAACGAAAATATCAAACCTGTGTTCTTTTTCTTGCACGACTTCGTCCAGTTGTTGTCTTAACAATTGTAGTTCGCTTCCCAGTCGTAATTCCTCTGCCCGATCATTTCGAAGCCTACATAGTAATAGTGGAAGCATACAAGTATTAAGAACCTTGGCATAATGACCATGTGTACAACCAGTAAAATCTTGACATTATGACATACCGCTTATCTTTCTCCATACAAGCACTTACAAGACGCGAAATCTCTTCGCGTGAGGCTTCTAGAGTAAGCTTAGCATTTTTGAGATCGGACGACAGTATGTTGACACTATAATATGAGCGAAACTGAGTACAAAAATTGACAACAGCCTGAATTCCAAATTTTCCCAAATTTCTTTAACACATACCGCTTTTCACATTCTATGTGCTTGCTTTTGTCAGCTTCGCGCTCTTCCTGCAGTTTTTTCAACTGAGCGTGAGAAGACTCAAGCTCTGCCGCCTGATGGGATAAGTACTCGGCGATGATTAGAAGATTTCGTTTCAGGCGATCGCTATCGCTCTGCAAAATTCTGTTTTCGTCTAATAATTTCTTATTCTGAGTCGTTATTCCAATAAGCTGTTCTTGATCTATCAATAGTAGCATTCTAATGAGTTTGGTAAGACAGGATAATAACAATAAATAAGAAATATGACAATAATTACGGGCAGCCAGAACGCTTTTGTGGTCTTCTATTAGTATTTCGCGTGTCATGTTCAGAGCGTCGAATTCTAATTAGTAAATGTGAATAAATTATAAATACGCGTCTGGGTTTAGATTATCATAACACGATAGGAAATTGGCTCATACTGCATTTCAACTGTTGCAAGTCTTCGTCAACCCTTTTCTTCTCACTCATGACTATGTCTAAATCCTTGACTGTCTGAGAAAGTGTGTGTCGAAATTGGGAATACTTTGATTTTATGTGATCAATTCGTTCGCGAGTACACTCAGAATCCGACTGTTGCCGTCTAACAAGTATTTCAAAAAGTTTAACGCGTTCGCTGAATATTGAGAGACTTTGATCTCTGCCACTCAGTATGCTGGCAAGTTGGTTGGGCGTTGATTGCTAGAATTGTATGAGAACCCAAAATCATATCAATCGTAAAGAACAAATATTCCCAAACGACACCATCATGACAATGTAAGTAGTCTTACCGGATTCTCGATTTTAGCATTTTTCTCAGTAATCTCGTCTTGCCATTCATTCACAGCACTCACCATTATGTCGAATTCATTAATTTTATCATCGGTTTGAATGTTGTTGCTTGTTTGTTCAACCGTTGGTGTTTTGACGTCAACTTTATTTGTGAGTTTCGTTTGTAATTGCGTTGGTGAATTGAGTGGAGTTGATGTATTGGATTTTGCAATAGAATATGGTGCATTGAGATTGGAGTTACGTGTTGTTACAACACCCGTTTGTTGCTGATGAGCAGTTGGAGAGAACAATTTTTGGGCAATTTGGCGAACTTGGGGTGAAGTATCCACATTATCAAATGATTCGGTTAATTTACATAATGATGTATTCGTCTTTGTGGAATTGTTTTCTGAAGAAGGAAACTCCTCTTGTTCGACAATCTGGATATCTTCTGTCTCAGATTCTAAATGATGTGTATCCGAAACCATATCTTGTTGCTGAGGACGCACGTCCTGTGTGGGTGTCGATGTCGTATCGTCATGACGTAGATTAGTCTCTATCGTGTTACTGTTCATAGCAACCGGATTACGCATAAATACATCTTTGCCAAGACTTTTTAGCGGAGGAGTAAACGTTTTCGCTTGACGCGTAGTTGGATTATTTGTCGATTTTTGAAATTCCCTAAAGGACAAACGGGACCTTGTTCTGAAATGTGGCTGTGCAAATACATTGGTTCGTTTTGGTTGTTTTTCGTCTTTAGATTGAGGGACCGAGGAGGTTGATTCGTTGTTCGCGTTCATAGCAGATGAAGTGTTTAATAAGACAATAAAGATAAAAAACAAGCGAGGGACAAGTCTTTTTTATACATAAATTTGGGTAATGCATAATGCAGTTGCTAAACCTATATTTGGTAGTGAGCGACTGTGGTTAGCATATAAATTACAAATTAGACTTATGCACTCTACACGTATAATGCCGACAACAGCATAAAAAAAACAAGGCAGGAATGAGTGACACTAAGATTTGAGCGGAGACACGGGAAGAAATTTGTCACGGTTTTCATATATTATAAGTTTATCAGAAGGGAGTTTTTTTCCCCGTATGTGTAATATCCATTATAGAATTTCTAATAAACAAAATTGTGGTTAATCTCTGGAAGCTTAAAAGAATACAGAGATGAAAAACTCCGCCATCTGTTAGAGAATAAAAGATATAGACGTTTTATTATACCGTGACCTGTCATCGGTAATCCGGAAATAAAGAAACAATTATTTACAATAGTTATGCTAGACAAAGAAACAGTCTTCCGTGCTTATGAAACAGACGTATTGGAGTTTGAATAGATTTCCTTCGTAGAGATGTGAGATTTTTAAACGCGTTGAATACTCAAACTCTTGTCAAACATATTACGATGATTGTTCCAAGAATAATAATGCTGATGTAATACGATATCGTGTAACAATGCACGTTTAAACTGTTTGTTAATTAAAATGATAGCATTACATAGTCACTCCCCACATAATCATCCCCGAAATTAAGTCAGTTATAGTAGACTTTGCTATAATGATTCGGTTTAGATTATATAGAACCAAGCTTTCATAAATTATTTCTGCAGTTTATCAAACGTATCAGTTAACATTAAACCAATTTGCGCTCTAAATTTACTGTATGACAATTAAAAATAATAAAAAAATCAGCACCTTGAACTTATCCAATTGTTAATTGACCGAGTATATGCCGGGTACGCTTGGACGGCAAAAATATTCATATCGGCTCTGTTTAAAAAATAGATCGGGGCTTTAATCAAGTATTATGTATTTATCAATAAATTTTTAGATTGAATTTCTGAGGTGCATTGTCGTTTGCGTTAATTGAATGCGAAAATAACTTTCTCTTTATGCTACACAAACATTTCAAGTCTTCATTTGTTATGCAATTGGTTAACCAAGTATATTCTGTGAACTGCTTCACTACTGGTCAATTTCAAATACTTTTTTCTCGTCATTATTATTGATGAATTAATTGGATGCGAAGAGATCTGGCGTATTCCCATTACACTAAATGATTTGTTTCGACTATTTAATACCTCGCATTTATAACGTGTAGCACATCAGCACAGAGATGTTTGGCTGAAAAGTCATCCAGCACGTCACAAATTTTTATTGCAAGTCGTGAGCAAGAACAACTTGTTACTGTTTCGATTGTATAAGTGTAAGGGGCAAGACCAATATCATATGTCAGGTGCAACTAATAAAGGAACGCAAAACTCCAATATTATGTGTCAATCGACTTGTTGCATGGAAATATCATAACCGCGACGATAGACATGATTAAAGAATGAAGCAATACTGAAGAATAAATAATTTTATATTAAAGATCTAAAAATTACGTCTATGTACTAACACTAAATGTCTTTATATGAATACACGTAGATTGATCAAAGATCTGCTATTATTATTTGTGTTATTACTATCTGATAGTCCCGTTAAATTTTTTTGGTTGTGAAGATTAAATGACTTAATAATTCTACTCTAAACTATCTGTACCGTCGAATGTAACAATAGGCACTTGCGGTAACGCTTCTTGGAAAGTTGAAAAGTCAAACGAGTTTGACGGTTGTTCGGGTGAGTTGGCATTGAATTGGTTGACATTCTCTTGTTTTGCAGTATATCGACTTCCTTGCATAGACTTCCTCATGATTTGTAGTGTACATATCTTCATTATTAGTAACTATCCGACGGCGTCACGAATGGCAACACCAAGCTAATCGCAAAAAGCCATGATCATGTCAATTACGATTTTAATTGTATGACTTTTGAGGGGATATACGACAATCGTTAATATTTTAAAATTGCTGATATTTTTCAAACAGAAATACAATCATTTAGCTTTAGAATAATATAAATTTTTTGGTATTTGTTTAAAAAATATGGAGATTTAGCGACTTGATATTCATATGTTTTACTTGCAAAATCTTGTATCCTATTTATACTTCTGTATGTGGAGGTTGAGTTACTTCTTCGATAGTTAAGTGAGGACTCTGGCAAACGATGAATTGTTTTGTTATATCCAACTGTATATGTATGTGTTAAACCATAATACGCCTTTCTATACGCACTAGAGATAACGATAAACATTAATTCTCTTCCACTTAACACCATCGGTATTAGCCTTCTTCATGTTGGTTAAGAAAATCACTAAATGTTTGCCACGAAGGAACACATAGTGAAACCACTACGTTACGAGCCGACGGAAAAACTTGCCCCGTTTTGATACAAATAATATTATTAATGCAACATCTTTAACTCTTGTTCGAACAATTAGTCTTCTTAGCGAATAGTATCGCGTTAAACACGATTCTTCTTAGTGAGTATAATGCAGATAAGATGTTACTCACTTATGTTACGAGGGGTTTAAAGAGTACTTAGAAATTGCATTTATTATCCTTTCGAACGAATCAGTTTCAGTAATGGATCGCTTGCAATAAGCTAACAAAATTCTATTACAAAAGTCTAACGATGGTTTATATCGTCGATTTTCAGGGAGATAAATCATGTTTATTTAGATTTGGTAATTAGATAGAAACTTATTTTTATGATATGAATTTTTCAAGCATAAAGCTTATGAGCAAAAGCTTAGCTTTCTTGGAACAAGAGTCGTTTTATAACTAATTTCTAATACCCGCAGTATTAACAATCCAATAAAAATAAATAATTCGGACTTAGACTAGTATGCGAATGATCTACACGTATTATCATAATTATGGTGACGGTTGAAATAATAGTAATTATACAGATGTCTTCAGTCTTCTGTCTGCTGAAAGAGGCAAAGCACATGCTAACATTGGCATACTTTCACTAACGTTAACGATTCTCTCCAAAATGTCCCAAAGTCAATCGTCTAACAACACATATAAAGAGTGGTTAGCTAAGAGTATCCAGGAAGGCTTTATCAAACACTATTCAGAAGATGATATTATAGATCGTACGCCTCTCGCTGGTGGTGGATATGGTGTCGTATACAAAGCCCGGATAAAGCATTCCGGAAAATTAGTCGCAATGAAAACTTTGTTTGAAAATCGATACGGATGTGAAGACGAATTATATAAGCAATTTGTCAAAGAGGTTGTCATTAATATTAATAATCGATTGTCGTAACTGTTGTATAGCGTCTAAAGGTTATATAAACTGAGTCTATAATCTAATTAATAGCTGAAAACTCATAAACAAGCGGATGATCATCAAAACGTTATTCGGTTCTTAGGAATATGCCAAGGTGCATCGGGTAATATTAATATTTGACGTTATATTTTCTTGTACATGATATAATGATTATAACTTATCCAACTCTATAAACTTATAACCTGAACAGATTTATCTGGACCCTATCGCATGGTGTTTGAATATGCAGACGGTGGCACTTTGTTTGAACACCTGCAGAAATATTTCCCTAAGCTGACATGGGAGGAGAAGTACAAGCTGGCTCTGGGGATTAGTGATGGGTTGCTATATTTACATAAACTCGGAATTGTTCACAAGGATTTGGTATGTGTTGATACAGTTTTTTAATAGAGAGGATGTATAGTGAAATACATAATGAGATCATATAATAACTTTATTTGACTATTATATCCATTGGAATTAGTCTTCAACAAATATTCTCCTCCAAGAAGGCATTACAAAAATAACAGACTTTGGATTGTCTAATACTCTTAAACAGATTATATCTACATCAAAAGGTGAAGGAAATATGGCATACATTGACCCATTATCTTTTAAAGACAAATCTTATAAACGTGGGAAACAATCAGATATCTTCAGTCTTGGAGTGATACTTTGGGAGATTTCAAGTGGGAAAGTTCCCTGTGAAGGGGCTACCACAAATTATGAAGTTTTCTTACACAGATTGAATGGTTCTCGTGATTCTCCATTTCCTGGAACTCCTAAACAATATATTGATCTATATTCCAAATGCTGGGATGATGACCCTAATAGACGCCCATCAAGTGAAATGGTAAATAGA